CGTCAATATTGCAGCGTTTTCGTGGCCTTTTGCAATGCTAATGCCACCCTTCTACCTGTAGCGTCCTCAGCAAGTCACGTTTTTTCGAGCAGTACGATCAGCCTTCCACGCCAATAATGACGCGCATAATTTTTCTCCACTGTCTTCGCCGTGATCAAGCGGTCACCTGAACACAACAACAACCAGTATAATTTTTAGCACTTATCAGTGGCGTACTATAGATTACTATTCCAACCCGCTGATGTCAACTGCATTCTGTTAGCTTGTTCTTTGTATGCAGCCCTGACGCTGCGTTTGTAGTTGATCGTTGTAGAACGGCAGATAAAGCGGCCGCAGGGTGGTGCGCTCCTGTGGCACTTATCATTTTACTTATACGACAGCCATTGTTGATGTCTACAGCCGGTCGCAATTGACAAGTACCAGCAGCTGGTATCTGCAATTTTCGATTACCGGCAGAATCGATCTGGCTTTACTAAAAATAACTCCCCCAAGAGCAACAATACCACAGCGTAGAACAATTATAATGTCGTCGTGTCGCATTGCTTGTGGTGGTCGTTCCAACAACATATGCTAGTAGAAGTAGTGTTGGCAGCAGCAGTATCAGTAGCAACAACGGCAGAAAAAGAATAGTCAAAAGCTATCTGGCCGGGTCTCTAGGACCTACACCTTAGGTTCAGGCTGCTAGGAACTGCAACGCTAGGGCAGCAAGACGCCGCTGTGGTAGATGAGCGACGAATAGGACCCCGCACAGGTCTCAGCACGTCGAACGAGAGGGGAAACTCGACAGGACGATGAACTGGGACACGAGTAGTAGAGTAATGGCAACTTACGAGAAGCCATCCGTGCGGACTTTGGCTCGATGTACTATTAACTAAGACCCGCATCAAGGCCCGAAATACGAAATGGTTTAGCGCTTAGTGCATAAAAGCCCTACAGCATGAGGATTCTGGGTAACTATTGAGTCGTCTGTTCAGTAGCCACATGCCGAGTCGAGTCGGGCCAGGGCGGCGCCTGTAGCGCAGCGCAGCGATAATAAACGCTCGGAAATTCAAATCCATTCTCATTGACGGCCACAGGCCGAGTCATTATCGCCATTGCAGCTGCAACAACTGTTTTCCGTATACGACTGAATTGGTCTTCGGTAGTTTGAAGGGAGCATCGCCCTCATCAGCAGCATCAGCATCAATAACAGCAATAAGGGTGCTAAGGCATTGCTAGTAATGGCCATTGTAATTGTCGCCTATCTTAGACGTGAGACAAAAACGGGAGCAGTCTGGCCAATATTGGTATTGGCAGGCAGTAGCAGCTAGCGCATCCGTTTAGTGACGAGCTTTAGTATAAACTGGTATTAAGCTGTCGTTTCCTAGATGGCCAGCCATTCGCTGTTGCATCATCCACAGGCCATGCCGCCGAGCTCTGTCGCTGCTGTTACAGTCGGTACGATCGTCGGCGTAATGATAGTGGTGCTGGTTTCCGTTTTCCTGTGTCCCAGCATTCTACACTCGTCATCTCTGGCCAGGCGTATTGTTGCAATGGGTAGGCAGGGCAGGAGTAGCTTCGCCTGGTTGTTCGGTGCGGAAAAGCTAAGACGAAAGGGGGTAGAAAAGAGGTGAATGGGGATAGGCACATTTGTATACGTTTACATATTTTGAGTCTATATATGAAACGCCATTGAGTTGATGCTGTTCTGTTAATCTAGTAGTAGTTGACAGCAGCGTGGTCGATGTGGCTAATGCGCGTCTTCTTGGGTACGTTGCCATGGTGACCGTAGACCACAAGCGCGCAGCCATCCTGGTTCAGATATCAGCGTTAGTAAAAATTCGTACGAAAACTAATAGTAAAGAATTGAGGAAAAATAAGGAGTTATTCTACAGGTCAACAGTTGCGTTGTCATGTCGTTGTTTCGAAGGTACGTTGCAGAAAGCCCAGATGAATTAAGCAAGACTCACCTTAGTTACACTTCTAGTCGGGCAAGTCTCTGTCTAATCTAATCTAAGATCCTAAAAAAAAAAAAAGGTAATTTTGCTGGCTTATTTGCCTAAAAAATAGCTGAGAGTAAATAAAAAAGTAGTTGATCTATATGAAATCAACTGCAGGGTACAGCTCTTAAATTAAGGCTAATTTTAGCGGGCTGTTTGTCGCAACCAGCGTACTCTCATCGTCAACAAAAAGCTTCTTTTTATAAAATAAATTAAGAAACACGGGAAAAGGTGGAAAAGTGTGTCGTCTTTGTAATCTGGGAGCAAATGAGTGACTACGAAATTTCTTCGCCGCATGCGATCGACGCCCGCGAACATTTAATACTCTTTGTTTACTTTTTGTCTAATTGACGCCATTTGCGTTATTGCTAGCTTTGATGCAGCTTTTGAAAGGTCCTCAGTAGGTTTTAAAATTCAGTAGGGTTCGAAAATTAGTCACAGGGTCACAGTCTCAAAAAGCCATCTTCAATGCACCGACCGTTTGAGAGAGAACAGTATCAATTGTCGATTGAGTTCTACAGGTAAGACATTAGTCTTTAAGATCTAAGATTTCTTGCTGCACACTGTGTACCTTTACGAGCTTGCTATCAATACAAGATTGATTTCGCTTAATTTTTCGTATGTACGCTATATACAACAGCATATACCTACCAATAACGCGAAACGCACAGCTTCTCTATAGAAAGTTGTTCGCTGGTTAAGAACGAATATTTCTGAAAGTGACTAGTGATTGGTTTAAATCCGGAGCCGACGCTGCAACCGCGGTAAATGGCCGTTATGTTGGATGAGCATTATTGCTAGGAATAATACTTATAGCGTGAATATAACATTTCGTAAAATAGATATAGTCTTAGAAACAACGCATAAGAGGAACTTGAGATTTAGATGCAGTGTCTGTTAAATCTAGCTACGGACTACAGTTGTTGTTACAGCGTCTTTGCGATACCCTTTTGAACTGAATAAAGAAGTGAGTTCGAATTTGCCGTAGACCCTGTCGTGACGCAAAAAGATTGTACCACAAACCGGTGTTGTCATGGTACAAAATCTAACATTTCTAATCAATAGAAGGACGCATGGGCTAAAGTCGAGCTTTGATGACAGGTGTCACGCTCTCTGCTCATAGGTAGCAACTAAGAGAGATCCAATCTAGCCTCGACCAAATGCAGGCTCCGCTAGCAGTCAGGTTCAGACTCGCCTTATTACTACTACAATTCTGATCATCGTCTCTATAACGAATATTTGTCTAATAGCATCAGATAGCTACGGTGACAACAGTAACAACATCGACAGTGGCTTAAGTATTTTCAATCACTGAAAGTGCAGGCACACGAAAAACGCCTGTCGGAACTGACCGCGCGTCCATGCGTCTTACGAATTCTGCGGATTCATCAAGCTCGTAAACGGCAGAAGCAGAATGGTTGGAACTTCTGCAGGTACAGAAGTTGAACAAAGCTGCAAGCCCATATGATTACTATTATTATTGTACTTTTTTTTTTTATTATACAATGTTTTACATAGAGATTTCGAAAATGTCGGTTTACGTATTTGTCTCGGGAAAGCCTGATAAAAGCATGTACAATTTCAATGGCAGGGATACCGGCAAGTTGTAAGCCACTGCGGGTTTGTCGTGCCAATGCTGAATTAAAATTATAATAAATTAATTTTCTATATTTATAAAGCTACGATCGCTGGCGGCATAAGTTCCCCAACTAGCGACCCGGTCGACGCTCGGATTGATCCGTGACAAATCACACTTCTGCGTTCCTCCCAATTCAACAAATATTTGTCCTCATTTATTAATGAACTACTGAGAAATTTCAACAGCTACAAAAAATCTGCCTGCAAATGCAACGAGAAGCTGAGAGGAAGAGATTAGCTGGTCGATTCAATCAATTGATAACCCGTCGTTATATCGCCTTTCTTTCTAACAAACAATTGATCAATTGTTTATTTCTGAAATTACGCTTTCTGAAGAGTTGTTGTTGAAGGCTGATATATCTGTTTGAGTATGATACTGAACAACAAGTAAAGAGAAGTTTGCAACGGTGTTGTGTGTCGACCTCAAAGATGACCGGTGTTCTGTTCAGGCATCCACGGCGCCATTTTTCAAACGTATCCGAACGTTTTTATTCGTGCGCTATCTGTAAGTAGATATTCACTTATTTACTTCGAGACCTGTACTTTGGTGGTAGTTGATTGTTCTGCCGCTTTCCTATTCGCTGCAATGGCGCTTTCCTTCTCCCAACTAATTGATAACCCTGAACGATCCGTTATTTAGCGCGTTTCAATACTATTAATAGAGATAGAGTCAATAAAGAGTTACTACATGTTTCAGAGTATGTGCAGACAGTGCTTGTAACTGCTCTATAGCACATTTTTCTACTATACGTCCATAATCTATCCTTTGAAGTAAGCGCGGCTTGTTAGACGAGCGCTAAATCAATATTAGAGTTTAGCGTTGAATGCTTTGGCCAGGTTTAGTAACAAGTAGCCAATGTCTTTATAAATCGCAGTTACATTACCCGAGATCGCTTTGGCAGTGTGCGCTATGGCGTTTCAAGGCGTATGACGACAAACAAGTCGTGGAAATAATGTGAATCGCAATTACCGACCTATGCGGCCACCACACATATTCTGCAAAATGTAAATCATTTCTTCGGAAGGAAGTGACGATGCTGCGAACAATATAAATGGCAGACGTGTGTGTCATATAGTGCGAACAGAAAGTATTAGTTTACTAACTAGTACTTTCTGTTCGATAGCAAGCGGTCTTAAATTTTTGTGGTCTTTGGGCGGGAACGTAATCTTACTCATGCATGAAGTTGTTTTCGAACGAGTTCTGAGCTAAACCAGATGCAGGTATCATTTGTTTACCGCTGATTAACTTTCCACAAGCAAATTTTCTCCACAACCCCACTTTCCGGAACCAGTTCTAATTTTTTGGACTCTCATTACCTCTAGCAATTTCAACTCCATTATGAGTCTAACTGACGAATCCCTGCTGGCATGGTGATTTTTCAG